TGTGTATTGTGTGTATGTGTATGTGTATGTGTTGTGTTGTGTTGTGTTGAGTTGAGTTGAGTTGTGTTGTGTTGTGTTGTGTTGTGTTGTGTTGTGTTGTGTTGTGTTGTGTTGTGTGTGTGTGTGTGTGTGTGTGTGGTGTGTGTGTGTGTGTGTGTGTGTGCGTGTGCGTGTGCGTGTGCGTGTGCGTGTGTGTGTGTATTTGTATGCACACATGTTCCCCCCACTTATTGTTTAACAGTTGTTCACAGTGGTGACAGCACCAACGCAAGTAAGTAGTATTATGACACGAAGACTAATAGTAGTAAGGGCAGTACTGGCGATATCGACATCTAGAGGACAAGCCTTATACATATTTGCTTACTGCGGGCTCTCTGTGTGGAAGTCGGAGTTGGCTTCAACAGTTTTTGTTTTAAGGTTGGTGCTGATAGAATCATGGTCTCTGAGAAGGTGTGCCTTGGGTGCTCAGCAGGGTGTCTGAATGAGGGGTCACATTGCTTCGGGTAGATATTCAGTTGCCATAAGGATCCCATTCCAGCCTTGTTTTGCGTTGCTGTCTTGCATGTAGGTTCTGAAGTTCTGAAACTCGCAAAGCGGAGACGCTTATTCAGATTTAGTAGTTCGCGTTGCCATGTACACCGGGGCGGGTTGTATCGCAGCGTCCAGGCCATGGCCTACTGCCATGGAATGCGGATCATTCACAAGGACCCTCCGTCATCAGCTGATCGATTTTGATGGCCGTGGGACACCAAAAGCCTACAATCCAATGTAGTCCGCAGTCTTGAACGGCTAGGATTTGAAAGACGAGAATGTCATGCTTCTCAAAGGAGCCCGGTAGCTGAGCTTCCTGTGTGGCTACAGGGGAAGTTCCAGTGCACAGCTCGCATCCCTCCGCGCGCACGCATGCTTTTGAGTTACTGCTGCCGAGTCTGAGACCTCGGAGCCCTTCGTTGTCATCATCGACTTGGGAGTCACCTGGAAAGCGTTCAGCGTTACGCCGCCGTAGGTTCTTACTATGTAAGGTCTAGTGACCGTGGCCGGAAGCATCTCAACTTTGTCCATCCTTCACTGGCCGTTCACCCCGTTGCCCCGAGGTTTCTGAGATGTTCTCGTCTTCTGATCCACATGGAAAGTCCGGACACCTAATCAGTCAGCACTGCTGCCCTGCCAGAGCCGCGTCTTGCAGCTTGAGTTGGGTGATGAAGGGGTTCAGAGGTCCAGGCTGAGGACACCCGAGGCTGGGTTCTTGAAGTCCTCATTCTCCTCTTCAACAACGTCAGGATGCCGGTTGACAGAAGAACCAGTTGAGTGAGCCCCGCAGAGAGGCATGCGATGGCTCAGTCGGCTCAAAGCCGTAGGTCCCTTGCAATGGCCACTCGGGTTGACGGAGGCCATGGCCGCGAGCTGATCACCTGGTGGCACGAAGACAGCACCTCGGAAAAGAGGGAGCTCCAGCCAGAGGAAGATCGGAGAGTTGTGCGCTCGCCGTTCTTTGAAGTTTCTGTGTGGACTGCCGCTGACCCCGAAGGGACTGACCGAAGGCAGAAGCCATTTCCTTACTTCTCATGGCCTCGTATGGGACGCCAGAAATGGGGCTACTCTAAGGACGACGGGGCCGAGGATTTCCACAGGGATTGCTGCACCTGCACTTGGGCACACTTCCTCTATTCGACTGATGTCTGGGTCGAAGTTACTCTCTTGGGTGATGCAGACCACCCGAACATTGCAGAAGAGATCCTCGTTCGTCCCCGCAAGATTTCGGAACAAACTGAGGGCGGATATTGGCGGCCTGAGAAATCGGGAAAGAATGCCGTGAAGATCAAGATACCTTACAGTCCAGAAGGCTTGCGTTTTTCCCTGGAGTTCAGTTGGGAGACGCTTCATCTTTGTCACGGCAGATGTTGTGGATCAGGTGTTTGCAAGGCTTCATGTGGGCAAGAGCGGCAAGAGCGTGCATTTTTGTTACCGTGGACCACAGGGGGTCTAGGGGCACATACCTTGACTGTCAAACTTATCTTGTGCTCTGGCGCAGCCTGCCTTTTTTGATGTGCGAGCCCAGGATCTTCACATTCCAGCACGAAGGTCGCGACATCGCGGAGATACCTCGCAATGCTCTGATCCTGTTTGCCGAGCCCATGGAGAAGCAGATCAGGTGCCGAGATTCAGTGTGCATCTAGACGGGTCGTAGACATCGCTGGCATGTGTCCATTTCTGAGCTTCAAACCTTCAAACGAGTAAGTTTTGAACCATCTACACCTGCTGGAGCGGGAGTCCCAAGTCTAGAAGTCGAGAAAGGCGGACACCAAGCGCACGCAATGCCAGCACAGTCTTACTGTGGCCCATGCGTCGCAAGCCTGCGAAGATCGGAGGTGTGGTTTCGTGCTGAGGGTGATTGTTTCTCCCGACCAACACCTTCGAATGCAGAAGAGGGTGGGACGTACGTCCTGCAACGCTGATGTATGCACATTGCAGTCAAGACTTACCAGCCTCCGGTGATTTTGGTGCGCCTGCAAGTGTGCTGGGCCAGGCCAGAGGATGTCTTCTCCGCAGCGGAGCTGGAATCAAAAGTCTATTACGTCGATGCTGAAAAGGACGCCAGATTTCTCTGATCTTTGCCTCGGCAGCTCTCGGCAGTAAGCTGCACTCGATTTCTCAGGACTTCCCATTGAACTTAGATGCCGTCCACAAGCCCGTCATCTACTTTCCGGCCGGGGTCTACGCCATGGCAGCGAGGTTGGAATTTCAGTTTCTGAGCAGAAACCCTGAGCACGAAATTTCCCGGCATCCGACGCGTTTCGGCTGTCATGTAAGGCATGGAACTATCATGCCTACCTCAATAATGAGATCGAGTGGATCTACTTGGCACCGGGGTCCTACGTCAAGGGTGCGATCCAGTTGCTGGCTTGGTACTAGATTCTGTGTTTTCCGCACTGCATGAAACAGGGTAGGTTTCACATGCTGGCGTGAATGCAAAGCAGGAGGGATGGTCGAAGAAATCTGCAGCCTGCCCAAGCAAAGGTTCCGTGGCGAAAGCGGGAAAACACCCGAGAAGCTGCGAATCACAGGACGGAAAAAGTGCAGAGTCTTGTCGCCGTCCCAGCAGTAATTTGTAGCAGCCTAATGATGTTGCATCTTCTGTCTGGAAAGGAGCCGGCACTATTTCCGGCGAGAAGTACGTCTATGAGTGCGACAAGGCAAGCAGACACCCCCCGACGAAGTCTCCAGGAGTTGACAGAGACTTGCCAGGAAAACGGTTACGCGACACGGCCAGCGCACGAAGCAGGAGCTCGTTTCGGGCACAGGCATAGTTGGAGCCTTCTGAGCGTCCCTGGAGGAGGCTACGAAGGGCGCTGCCTGAAGATGATGGACCTCGCATTTGAAGCTTGCTGTTGTGCACAGCGTGACGCTTGCATGCCAACTTGCCCGGACCTTCAAACTGTAGAACCGAAAGTTTGTATGAAAGCTCTTGCACCTAAGGGAGGGAAGGAGGGAGGGAGGCAGGGTTCCCTACAAAGCCGATTGCCTTGGAGGCTCCCTTAATGTGCCGGGGACACAACACCCCCCCCAAGCACAAGGAAAGCAAGAGCGGGAGAGGGGTAGGCATGCTTGCGTACTAGCTGCTAGTCATCATTCAGCGGATCAAGACGAAGTGCTTTGTCACAACTCCGCCTCAGTTTGTTTCAGCCACCTACCCGAAACTGGTCATCAGCTGCCCCTCTGACAGGAGTTCTATTCATCGGGGGACATGAACCAGGAGCCTTCTCGACTGCGTCACACTTCATTGCAGCTCGTTGCAAAGCATCCCGCTTACGCATCACGGCACTCTTCCGAAAACCCAATTGGTTCGATTGACACCGTTTCTGCCCAGTGCTGCTTCAGTGCGCGACCTCAGCTACTAGTACCCTTCAATTTCACTAGCTGACAGGAGCTGGAGGTTCACGGCATCACGCTCACGAATCCACCCTTCCATTCCTTTACCGTTTACGGTAGCCTGGACCAGGCTCGTTGCTCGGCTTTGGAGTCTCCTTTCGGAGCGCCTTTCTGTTACATGGCCCTTTGACATGTCATGTATATGTCGTGTAACAGCCCAAACCCTCCGAGCGGGGTGTGAGAGAGACTCCTTTGAGCCTGCGGAGACGAAACAGAGAGAGAGAGAGAGAGAGAGTTAAACATGTCTGGCAAGCGCAGAGGCTGGAGCGAATAAGTGCGTAATCACACCACCCGCCGGTACTGTACAGTGGTGGCGAAGGGTCAGCGATGCAGTTCGAGCACTGTCCAGCCCTTACTAGGCAACTAGGCCTAGGCGACTTCGCTTCGCAGGCATGTTCCAAATTCGCCACAACCGTGGAGAACTACCACATGGTGGGAGTTTGGTACTACCAGACCGATGGCCCCGAGGCCCGGGGCACCTCTGACCCCAACGGCCCCAACCCTCAAGCTGACGAAACCAGAATCGAGAGGTGAATCTCGGCTCCATCCCCTTATGGAGGTTCCCAGCTGGTCAATGGTCCAGAACTCGTTCTTCCAGACTGGGGATGATTGCATCAAGCTCTACTGGAGCCATGCCACTTTGCTCTGACTGGGAAGTGCTTGCTCGTATCCATGTTACTGCTCAGTTTGGGCGGCTGGGGCGGGGTTCTAAATCTTTCGATCGGAAGCCAGAGCCGGCAGGTGACGGTGCGGCGGATTACGGCCTGGTTCCAAGGAAACGGTGGCTTTATTCAGTTCGGTTGGAAGCCTCGCAACCTTACCCAGATCACGTGTGAGGACCGGCTCCGAACACATGCATGTGCAGCATGGCTTATTGGCTTGCCATCCCTGTTTTTGACATTCCACGACTGTGCGGTCGTGACGCTTGTGAACTGTCAACGAGAAAGTTAGTTTAGCATGCTCTCTGTCGTCCAAAGTTATGGATCAGGAGGTGGACGTGATCCATGACCTTTCTCGCTACAGGCACGCCAACAACTGTGCCATCGTTTGTGCAGCCGACCTGATCACCGACAGTGACAAGGCAGCTGCACACGAGTTCTGTATTGAAAGCCTGGTGTTGAGGGATATCCGTGTGGAGGGCAAGTGCATGTGTCCTATCCGCATTGCAGTTCAGTCCCAGATCCGGAATATCAAAATTGAGCGCTTATGGATTGACGAGTGGGATCGATCAGAGGACCGGTGTGGCCTGAAGGACTTCAAGAAGAACTCTCTTGTGACAAAGTACTTCAGTGATTTGAAGGAGGCTTCTCCTTTTCTTGAGATATCTGACTTTCGGATCGGCGGCGACGTGGTCACTGAAGCGAACGCGGAATCCTTGGGCAGGATGACAGTCGACCCTCTTTTCCAGAGCAAGTGGTGCCTTCTAGCCTCCCCTGAACATAGACAAGAGCATCGTTCGCATCCTCAGCCCGCCAAGAAGTGTGTTACGATGTGAGCTTGGTCACGGGCGCTTCAGGACAAGACCGGTTCCTCAGAAACACCGCCCGACGACAAGGTGACAGTGCGAGAATAGAAGCTGGACATAGCGGCTGAGAGACGTCCGCGGTGGAGAACAGCTTAGAGGCAGATAGGGCTCTAGAGGAGGCGAGCGGGCGGGATCGAGCTGCCCATACTGCCCATCACCGCGACACGGGGCTCAAAAGCTAGAGATTCTGTTTGCTGGTTGGTTGGTAGCCTGTTGGGCTCCACCAAAAGCCCCATGCTAAGGCTGATGGGGGGCACGCCCATGACAATGGCTCCGGAGGCCACAGCCCTGTGACACCAGGTTCCCTTGAAGGTTGTTCATATCCTGTAGGTGAGTTCTTGGCTGCACGAGGTCTAGAGTCTAGCGGCCAAGAGTTGAATGAGGTCTGCACACCTTGAATCCATACGACTCAATCCGGACTCAGGTCTGGGAAAACAACTTCGGCCCTAAGTGCGATGTTTGGTCTGCAGGCCATTTGGGAGTTTCCGAAAAGAAGGGTACCTTAACTAGGGGTCCTTATAATAAGGATCCTACTATTTAGGGTACTATATTAGGGTCCCCTATTTTCGGAAACCCCCATTTCTCAAGGACAAGCTTCGAAGATCTGGGTCTTTAGTCCTTTCCGCTGTGGGAGAAGACTTGGGAGTGATGCCTAGAGCCAAAGCGGTTCCAACAAAGTCCAGACAGAGCAGCAGTCCGCGTTCAGGTTGCATTCTGTTCGAGATGCTTGCCGGAAGCCTCCCGTTCGCTGTGAGGACTTACGCTGGGCAAAGGTTTCATGTGAATTGGGGCAATTCCCTTCCCTCTCACTGTCCTCAGGAGCATGAATCCGAAAGATTGGCAGGCCTTACACCGGTATGGCCCGGATTGGCGAAAGGCGGGTCACACCACTCACAACTTGAAAAGATCCCCGGTTTGTGAGTCGCCGGAATCTGCCTCTGAACCGTTGAAGACGGGGAGTTGACCTTTTGACGCCCGACGACGACTTGTTTTTCCAGGAGTAAGGTCTCTGCTGGTGGGATAAATCATCAAGCCGGCAACATGGCCTAGGAATAGCTCAGACTCCATGAGTGGTGGCCCCAGTTAGCAGTACCCTTGCCCATTTTGGGTGATAATA